AACAGATGCTGGAGAGGATGTGGAGAAATAGGAACACTTTTACACTGTTGGTGGGAGTGTAAATTAGTTCAACCATTGTGGAAGACAGTGTGGCGATTCCTCAAGGACCTAGACCTAGAAATTCCATTTGACCCAGCAATTCCATTACTGGGTATATATCCAAAAGATTATAAATCTTTCTACTATAAGGACACATGCACACGAATGTTCATTGCAGCACTGTTTACAATAGCAAAGACCTGGAACCAACTCAAATGCCCATCGATGATAGACTGGACAGGGAAAATGTGGCACATATACACCATGGAATATTATTCAGCCGTCAAAAACGATGAGTTCGTGTCCTTTGTAGGGACATGGATGAACCTGGAAATCATCATTCTCAGCAAACTGACACAAGAGCAGAAAATCAAACACCGCATGTTCTCACTCATAGGTGGGTGTTGAACAATGAGATCACATGGACACAGGGAGGGGAGCATCACACACTGGGATCTGTTGAGGGGCAGCCAAGGGAGGGACAGCAGGGGGTGGGGAGTTGGGAAGAGATAGCATGGGGAGGAATGCCAGATATAGGTGATGGGGAGGAAGGCAGCACACCACACTGCCATGTGTGTACCTATGCAACAATCTTGCATGTTCTTCACATGTACCCCAAAACCTAAAATGCAATAAAAAAATTGAAGAAAGAAAAAAAATGGACTGGGGATTTTATAGGGTATATGAGGAAGCAAGGTGACCAAGAGGTTAATTATAATGTCAGTGCCAAAGTTTAGATGAGGACTGGAACCAGGGTCCAGCGGTGGAAGCAGAGGAGGAGGGAGATACACGAGGCTTGAATTTCAGACCTTACCTTGAAGGTGCTGGTGCCTATTGGCTGGGCTGAGAGGAAAAGGAGAAGACAAAATCACCCCTACAGTCTCCTGCTTGGGCAACAGGGAGGAGAGTGGAGCCATTACTAGAGAATTGCGGATGGGCTTAAATAATGAATTTCATGGAAAAACTCGTATCAGATATTATCAAAAGCAGGTAGCAATGCTGAAAATGAGTTAGCCACCAACGAACTAACATCCCAGCTGTCCAGCCAGGGGCAGCGGTTACAACATTTATGTCTTCAGACTCCTCTAAAATACACAGGTAGTGATGCTGCCAGTGAAGTCATCACCTGGAACTGGCCCAGGAAATGATCCCCGTGCTCCGTGGAGCTCAGGTACACATGCTACGCTTGTCTGTGCTTTATACTCTGTACACCACTCACAGCTTGCTCATTTCCTCATACAACTGTCTCATGAGGCAGGCGTTCCGAGTCCTACATTATTGGTGAGGAAACTGAGGCTCAGAGAGGTTAAGGGACAGATCTAAAGTCACGTTCCTAGTGAGGGCTCAAACCTGCCCACCCCACCTCCAAGCCTTGTACATCTGTACATCAGGTGCAGGACTGTCTAGAATCAACTTTTCTGAGAAAGAGTAAGAATAAGTCAGTGTAACTGAAATTGGCAACAAAGGCCGAAGAACAGTGAGAGTAAAATTCAGAGTGAAAAATTCAAGGCTGGAGAAATTCCTTCCTGGGGTACAGGCGGGACCATTGGCTCTCCCGATGCCTCTGCCATGTTTTGTCTACTCACAGCCCCTGGGAGCTCCAGGAAGGCCCTGCAGTGGGGGAGGCAGGGAAGAGGCTGCTGGGGAGGAGGTGGTGACAGCCTGAGAGTGGAGTTTTCTCTGGTTGTATTTCCCCCTCTGCCCTTCCTGCTCCCTTCCTCTGCTTCTCCTTTGCTGCTGACTTCAGACAGACGGGCTCAAAGGAATTGCTATGTCAAAGCAGAAGCAGCCCAAAGCAGAGAGAAAATCACTCTTCTCCAGTGAGTTCGCGGGGATCTAGAGGGACCAGGAAAGGGGATTTTGTGGATGGAGCCATAGCTCCTTCCTTCCTCAAGCGGCTAGATGAACTACTGCTTAAGAGCACAGATGCTGCACTAGACCGCATGGGTTCAAAACTAGCTTTGCCCTATTCTAACCGCAGGACATTGGACAAGTTAGTAAACGTCTCTGTGCCTGTCTCCTCATCTGTAAAAAAGGGGTATAAGAATATTAACAATCTCATAGGGTTGTTCTGCACAGCAAATGAATCAGCACATGCAAATCATGTAGCACAGTGCCCGGCACAAAAAGAACACTGAAAGGATTCTGTTTTTATCTTTATATGAGCTCCTGCCCTTCCATTACATGCCCTGCATTTTCACCATGGGAGACTTGTTCCTCTTGGTTGAGCAGGGCTTTCTCTTTGTATGAGGTGTTAGAGTACGAATATTGGCGAGACGTAAGGCTTACAAACATTTAATATTGGTCATGTGTTAATATTTCTTTATCAAAGACACCACTAGAACAGAGGATGGAGAAAACCAGAAGAAGTCGGAGAAGAGCAAAAGAAGAGGAGAGTGCTGGGTGTGGTCCCTGAGTGCCGTCAAAGGGGGACTTCTCTGTGGGCAGGATATGACGCCCTGCAAAGCCAGAGGCCACATGTAGACACACAGTCCCCCCAATCCCCTGGGATGGAGAGGAAGAAAGGGAATTTGGCACACAGGGAGGCAAAGGGATTGACTGAAGACCCACTATGTCAAACATCAGCCCCAGGGCCAAGTGATGAAGCCTCTGGATGAAGCCCTGGTCTGAATTCTGCTACACATGAATCAGATGGTCTTGGCAAGTCACTTTGTTTCTGGACCTTGATGCATTCATTGTCCACTTGGATGTCACCCCTTTTCTACCTTCCTCATGGAGTTATTTGCACAAGGGGTTACTACAACAAATTCTGCAATTTCTTGGGGACATTGAGCAACAGAGACAAATGCTTAAGAAAAAAAAGCTGTATATGAGATATCAAAATGAGGCATGCCTAGCCTCATACTGCCTCTTACTCTGTCTCTGCTCTGTGCACTTGTGCAAGCTCTCTCCCTCTTACTGATGCTCTCTCTCTCTCCTCCCCCCCTCACTCTTTCTTATTCATTCTCTGTCTTTCTCATTCTCACTCTCTGATTTTCTCTCCGCCTCATTTTCTCTCTTTCTCACTCTCTGACATGCACACACAGCCACATATACACACACACACTTGAACTTTCATCTTTACCTTAACTGCCTTTTATTTTGCCTCCACTAAAGATGCCAAGGATGCTACAAAATGAAACGAAGCTCGGGGCAGTCTAGAGAGACAGGACTCACTGGTAAGGTTTCCAGGTAAATGGTGTCCTTTGTGAATGTTGCAAAGCAATTGCCAAGACAAAAAGCTTCGGAAAATAAGAGTTATAGACAAGAAAGAGAACTGAGGTGGAATTTTCTAGAAGAAAAGAAAAGGGACCTGGAGGCGGAGGTGGCTGCCTCTCAAGTTCTGGATCAGGGCCAGAATCCAGTCTCTGGACACCCTGTCCAGTATCTTTCACACTATCCTATTTTATACTATTTAATTGCCTTTTTTTGTTGATGTTGGATGTTGAGTTGGCTTAGATTTGGCTACCACTTTTCATAACTTGCCAGAAAAGGTCCACCTTCCCACATCCATGTAGGATTTAAAATGGAGTCACACATCCATGACCCATGTTTACTTACTAGAAATTTCTTCCCTCAATCCTGGTCTGAAGGCCTTGTCCAAGGCCCTGATCTCCTTCAGCTCCTTCTCCTCCACCAACAGGCAGACGATCCTCCGACCCAGAAACCCTCCTGCTCCCGTCACAAGGCAGCTCCAGCCCGTCATGGAAAATCCAAGGTAGCAGAAAGCACTCGCCAGGAAACAGAAGATGCTGGGGAGCAGATCTGATTCTAGGGTGACGCTGAAGAGGGCTCAAAAAGGAGATCAGCTATTTATACACTCACACAAATGCCTTTTTTCTTCCACCCAATTTTTTGCAAAAATTCCACATCCCCACCACTGCTAGAAGTAGCTGAAAGAAAATAAAAAAATCTCTAACCATTAGTTAGGTTATGAATAGCTGGACAGAGTAGTCAGGGTGCTGGTCGCCTCATCCCCTGAGGCAAGAGTGGAGCTTTGTGTACTGTGGTTTCTGGCTCAGCCTGTATCACCATGAACTCCCGCCACAAACTCATTGCCCTCTGCTTCTCCAGGATCCCTTTTCTCAGAAGAATAGTGACCTTTAGGTTTTATCTCTAATTCTTCCCAGAAGCAGGAAGAGAAATTCAACCTTAAGGCTGCAACGTGATAAAGAGTCTTGGGTTTAGACTTAACAGGACACTGGTCAGTTGACATCGGCTCTCTGGGGTCCACAACCTGTGAGCTTAAATAGACTGGGAGAAATCTTCAAGTGAAATGTGAATTTTGTCCTTGTACAGTAAACAAATATGGAGGGAAACCCACATTAGCCCATCATCTCCTCTCTCAGAATATCATTTGAAAGGTCGCTGCTGTCTCGCAAAGTTTAGAAATTTGCAGTGGTGACAGCTCCAATCAGTGAGATTTGTGAGGGATGACTTTCTTTCTACCCAGTATATCCAAAACCTCAATTGCGATTTTCCCTTGGAGAACTTTGGATTCTCCAAGGGAAATTCTTTAGAAGAAGAACATCATTGAAAGAAAGCTATCTAGTGATAACCGCTTAAAGATATGACCTGTACCACAAGGGGATTTGTGGGGATTTGTGATTGTTTAACTCAATGACTCTTACCAGAGATGCCTGATTTTATCCCGTATTTTTGGCTGCAAAATCATTCTCAGCAAATTCCTGAACTGAATATGCTGTGAATGCTTCTGAAGCCTATGCCTCATAACTGCCCTAACAGCACTACCCTAAGTTCCCCAAAACACATTCCTTTTTAAAACAAATCAAGATGTAATTTATATGTATTACAATGCCCAGATCGTAACTGTTCAGTGCCAATGAACCTTGGCAGTTATATACGTCCATTTAAGTACCACCCAAAAGAAGATCTAGACCATTCCCTTCACTCCAGAAAGTTGTTTTCCAGCTGTTCCCTGTTAATTCCCTGCCCTTCCCCCAACCTACCTCATAGGCAACTACTTTCTGATTTTATTCCCACAGAATTCCCATTTTCTATTTCAATTTCCTGTATTTTCCTAATTTATTCTTCTAAGATCTCTGTGTTCTGAATATATGTTTACATATAAAATCATTCTAAAATTTAGTTTTGTGCATGGCGTACAGAAAAAATAACTATCGATTTTCTCTATTGTGTGTTCATTTTTATATTTTATGATTTTCCTTATTTTCATGATTAGATTACATTTATTAACTTTGGATTTTTTTCAGGGTTCTTATGATAAAAGCATAGATAATTGGCTTTACTTTTTTTGCTCATTTCCAATATAGGCATTTAAAGTTGTAAAGTTCTTTCTAAGCACTGTGGTAGCTGTATCCAACATTTTGATGACTGGGTTATCATCATTCACTTAATATGTTTTGAATTTTTTCTTGTGAGTTCGGCTATGACCAAAGTGTTATTTAGCGTATGCTGCTTGTTTTCTAGGATTGAGAGTTTTCTAGATCTCTTATCCTTACGAATTTCCAATTAAATACTATTGTGGCCAGAGCAGGTACTCTGTATGATTTTGATCTTTGGATATATACTGAGACTTGTTATATGGTGCAGTGTATGGTCTATGTTGGTGAAAATGCCGTAAGTACTTGAAAAGAACGCTTTTTTCTTTTTTTTTTCCCCCATTTATTTATTTTATTGCATTTTAGGTTTTGGGGTACATGAGAAGAACATGCAAAATTGTTGCGTAGGTACACACGTGGCAGTGTGATTTGCTGCCTTCCTCCCCATCACCTACATCTGGCATTTCTCCCCTTGCTATCTCTCCCCAGCTCCCCACCCCCCACCGT